CGGTGTTTCGACATTGGGCGGAATGGGAGATGGGGGGGTCTGGCTCCGGAGCTCTGCTTAGCGCGACTGTTTGGAACAGGGCGTCCATTATGAGGGAGACTCCGCCTGCTCGAAACAGTCGCCAAAAAAAGCGGAGATCTACTCCACGGGGGGGGGAGGAGAAGGGGGGGGTGCGAGGGCCCGCGCCGATCGGCAAACCAATTAAACAAAAGATCACACGTAAGCTCTCTCCTCGCTCCGTGCTTCGAGCCCCTGCACCCGCTACAAGGGGAGCCTGGTCGGCGAACAGCTCGATCTCGAGGCGTCCAGACGCCAGCACGTGCTGCCCGGGGCCGCGCACCTGCACGTCCAGGAAGACGATCGGGTTGGGCCGACCCTTCCACTTCTGGACCACCTCCTTAAGATCAAGTCGGGCATGTCCCTCTACAGGAGGAATATGCAAACATAGTCAAACAAAATTGGGAATACGTTTCCCGACTATTTTTCCCAACCATCCTGTGGTATTGGGTCCTCGTTTTGAAGAGACAGTGCCCCGCGTTCCTTCCTTCCTCCTCCCCCTCCCCCTCCTTCCCCTCCTCCTCCTCCCTCCTCCCCTTCCTGCCTCTGCTCTCCGCATGCCCATCCCATGTCGGTACACCCCTCACACGTTTCGTGGTCCCATGGGGAGCTCCACCTAAGGCCCCGATGGGACAATTCGCATGGCACCTCCGCCCCATTTCAGCACACCCCTCACACGTTTCGTGGTCTCATAAGTCGCCTCCGCTGAAGGCCCCAGTGGCTGCGTTCGCATGCGCCCGCCGTGCCCATTTCGGCACACCCCTCACACGCTTCGTGGCTCCATAGGGAGTTCCACCGAAGGCCCCAGTGGGAAAGTTCGCATGGCACCGCCGCTTTATTTTGACTTCGGCACACACACACACACCTCACACGTTTCGTGGCCCCATACGGAGCTCCGCCGAAGGCCCCAGTGGAAAAGACAGCATGGTACCGCCGCACCCATTTCGGCACACCCCTCACACGTTTCGTGGCCCCACAGGGAGCTCCACCGAAGGCCCCAGAGGGAAATACAGCATGGCACCGCTGCCTGATTTCGGCACACCCCTCACACGTTTCGTGGCCCCACAGGGAGCTCCGCCGAAGGCCCTTCGCATGGCCCCGCCACTCCATTTCGGCACGCCCCTCACACGATTCGTGGCCCCACAGGAAGCCCCACCTAAAGCCCCAGTGGGAAAGTTCGCATGGCACCGCCGCCACATGTCGGCACACCCCTCACACGCTTCGTGGCCCCATGGGGAGCTCCACCGGAGGCACCAGTGGGAACGTTTGCATGGCACCGCCGCCCTATTCTGGCACACCCCTCTCAAGTTTCGTGGCCCCACAGGAAGCTCCGCCGAAGGCCCTTGTTGGCAAGTTCGCATGGCACCGCCGCCCCATTTCGACACACCCCTCACACGTGTCGTGGTTCCGTGGCACAGCGGCACCATTTCGGCACACCCCTTACATGTTTCGTGGCCCCATAAGGAGCTCCACCTAAGGCCCCAGCGGGAAAATTTGCATGGCACAGACGCCCAATTTCGGCACACCCCTTATACGTTTGGTGGCCTCGGAGGGAGCTCCACGGAAGGCCCCAATGTTGACGTTCGCAAGCGTCCTCCCGACTCATGTCGGCACACCCCTCACACGGTTCGTGGCAGAAGGCTATACCGTCTGCGCTACTCGGAGTTGGCGCGCCCCCCTCCTTCGTCTCATCTCCCTCGCGGCAGTCGCAGCTGCATATGGTTGGGTCCTTCGTCAGGCTAATTGCATTTTTTCTCTATTTCTACTGTAGGAGGACATGCCCAATCTAACCTTAGGGCAAAGCTAGGATGAGGATACATTCGGGTGAGAATCTTTGAGATCTGGAGGAAGTCTCGGGCGCCGCGGCCTTCTCGGAGAGCGTTCCAGAACGCTCTGGAACGGATCTCTCCTCGTCCTAGCCCCGCCCGACCTTCAACGAATACACGACGTGGACAGAACCTGTCGGAGGTCTGCTCGGACTGTGTTGGACTGAACGACTTGGTGGTAGGTGCGATGATGATTTGTGCCATTTCGCAGTCTACATGACCATGACAGGTGGCCAGTTATGCAGGCGGTCCACGCAGGACACCCGCCCCATCCGGGGTTACGAGCTTGGGGCTGATATTCTGATGATCCAGGCTGATCTTTCGGTTGCACGCAAGAGTGACCCTGGGCAAGAGTGACCTTTGGTGCGCGGCTATTAACGGGGGGCTTTGCGCGGCCAAACCTGGGCGAGGAAGCCGCTGCCACCACCTCACGCTCAGCGATCAGGGGACACCAAGGGGCCCGCACCAAAAGGTCACTCCGGCGAACGGTCTCTCTGACATCTACGATTCTTGCGCCGTCGCCTCAGCCACAACCTCGAGAACTCGACTGCCCGGGCCGCGCTGACCCTCAAACCCCCTGCCGCGTGAGGCGCGCACGAGGGGCAGCGCCGACCCAATACCTCCGCGCGGACCTCCGAACACGGGCCCATGCTGCTCTGTTGCCGTTCGACGACGACGACGACGACCGCGACGACGACGACGTTCCTCGTGCGCCCGCCGCTGCTGTGCCTGGGCCTCGCCGGCCCGCCTCGCCTCCTCTCGGTGGTTCCAAGATGGGGCCCTGAGGATGGGAAGGGATCCGAGGGCGCATCTGCATCGCTTGAGGCACCTCGTCCTCAGGACCCCATCCCTCAGGACCCCAACTTTGAGCCACCGACTCCTCGCGCTCCCTCTCGCCGCGCGCCGCGAACTCCTCGGCGTACCTGAGAGGCGACGATCGGGGCGGGGCTGGCATAGGGGGGGATGCATTGCCTTGGAATCGGCGACACATCGCCGGATAGATCAGTAGGCCCCGGGTAGCGAACCCGCACGTTCCTGGGCTGGGTGGGGCTATCGGGCCCCCAGCGGCGATCAATTGGCGATTGGGGGTCGATGCATCCCCCCTATGCCCATCCCCCCCTGTCGCTGCCCCGGAGTACTTCTCTCGCTCGGCCTCCTCCCGGAGCAGCCTCCGGAGGGCGTCGGACTTGTCCTCTGCGCCACCGGCAGGCCCGTCTCGCGGTGCCGAGGCGCCGGCCAGCGCCTGGCGGCCCTGGCGGGCCGGCTTCCGTCCGAAGCTTGCCATCGCGCCCGGCGCCCAGCGGTTGCTGTGCGCGCACGCGCCCTGAGCCAATGATTGCTGCAGAGGCGCAGGAGTTGGAGAGCATCTTGCCCCCTCAAGGCCATCGAGGGCCCGTCGCGGAACAATCCGAGGACCTCCTCGGGCGCAGGCATTTCTGGGTCTCTCTGCCGATGGAGCTGCTACTGGACTCTGCCCGACCGGGCCCGCCGGCCCTCGTCTTAGCAAGGCCTGTTTTTCACAATGAAGCGTCCCAAAGAGCTACTGGGATGCGTCACAATATGCCCCAAACGCTACCTCTAAAAGGGGTCCACTCTAATCCCACCCAGTGGTTTAAAGCGTTTCCTCTTCCATCTCCCCTCTTCGGGGAGGGGCTTATCACCGTTCCCTATTCACAGCAAAAAACCCTCCCCCAGGCGCCCAGCAGCCAACCAGGACCACAGACCCCCCCATCATCTCTGTCAACAAACAATGCCAAGTACACTCTGGGGCAACACCTTATGTCACAATCGCGGACCCCGCGAGTACTTTGTACTCTTTTTCCCACCCATCCTGTGGTATTGGGTCCTCGTTTTGGAGAGACAGTCCCCGTCTTCCTCCTTCCTTCCTCCTCGCCTCCCTTCCCCCTCCTTCCGCCCCCCCCCTCACTTTGGTACACCCCTCGCGCATTTCGTGGCCCTGTAGGGAGCTCCCCCGAAGGTCCAAATGTCAGCGTTCGCATGCGCCCGTCGCACTCATTTCGGCACACCCCTCACACGGCTCGTGGCCCCGTAGGGAGCTCCACTGAAGGCCCCAGTGGCTGCATTCGCATGCGCCCGCCGCACCCATTTAGGCACACCCCTCACACGTTTCGTGGCCCCATAGGGAGCTCCACCGAATGCCACAGTGGCTGCGTTCGCATGCGCCCGCCGCGCCCATTTTGGTACATCGCTCACACGTTTCGTGGCCCCACAGGGAGCACCACCGAAGGCCCTGGTGGCTGCGTTCGCATGCGCCCGCCGCACTCATTTCGGCACACCCCTCACACGTTTCGTGGCCCCGTAGGGAGCTCCACTGAAGGCCACAGTGGCTGCGTTCGCATGCGCCCACCGCGCCCATTTCGGCACACCCCTCACACGTTTCGTGGCCCCGTTTGGGGGCTTCACTGAAGGCCCCAGTGGCTGCGTTCGCATGCGCCCGCCGCACCCATTTCGGCACACCCCTCACACGTTTCGTGGCCCCATAGGGAGCTCCACCGAAGGCCCCAGGGGCTGCGTTCGCATGCACACGTTTCGTGCCCCGTAGGGGGCTCCACTGAAGGCCACAGTGGCTGCGTTCGCATGCGCCCGCTGGACTCATTTCGGCACATCCCTCACACGTTTCGTGGCCCCATAGGGAGCTCCCCCGAAGGCCCCCGTGACTGCGTTCGCATGCGCCCGCCGCACCCATATTGGCACACCCTTCTCTTCCTGGCCCCAAAGGGATTCAAAACTGCATGTGGTTGGGTCCTTCGCCAAGCTAATTTGACAGGGCGGGCGGGGTGGGGCCCATACTGCCTGCTGTGCACAAGGCCACCACTCCTGTCTACATAACATCACAACATGATGAACTTCGCGGCTAAATCTGGATCGCGCGCGGCCCCCACGCAATCATTCTCCATCAGTTTTCGACAAGGACGGCGTGGGTGCTGGCATATTGCCTGCTGCGAGCAGGCCCAACAGACACCATTACGGCTTTCCCGCCGCGATTGCGCATAGGTTTTCGACAAGGATGGCGGGGGCCGACATGTTTCCCGATGTGTGCTGTCACGTGTGCGGGCGCACCTGGCAACACCCTGCGCGTGCCCCGAACGTGGCGCACCTTGCGCGGCTAGATCATGCAGCACACACGGCGCATGTGGAGCACGTGGCGCATCTGGCGCGCCAGGCGTGCCTGGCACGCTTGGGCCCCGAGGGTCCCTGGCGCACCTGGCGCGCGTGGCGCGACTGGCACGCCTGGCGCAACTCGCCCCAGCGTCGCGCTCGTGGGGTCTGCGCTGGTTTCCAGTACCGGTTCATCCGTAGAGGACCGCTGAACATGCTGAGACTCGGGTGCTACTTATGTGTTGGGAGGGCGGGTTGAGCGAGACAGCCTGCGGGCGGGGAAGGTGTCTTGACCCCTCCCCCTACCCCCGCCTTCTCGACCTGGACGGTGGGTGTCGCGAAGTGTCTGAGGGTCCTTTTTGGCCTCGGCGAGAAGGCCAAACTCACTGATTTGATCAGGGTTTTTGGCCACATGTTGGCTTCCCTGGGGGCACCTCATTAAGGAGCTTCCCTCTTTTGATCGACCTCCTGCAAGATGGCCCCAATATTGCCCCCCGAGGCTCCCAAGGGTGCCCCAAGATGGCCCAAGAGGTGTCCAGGAGGCGCCAAGAGGCCCCCAAAGGCGCCGAAGATGCCCCCAAGAGGCTCCAAAGAGACCCCCAAGAGGCCCCAAGAGGCACCCCAGGGGCACCCAACAAGCCCCAAGAGGCCTCGCCGAGAAGACAACAATCATTGATTGTACTAGGGTGTTGGCCACATTTTGGCCTCCTTGGGGGGGGCCCAATGTACTACGGCCCCTCCTTTGATCGATCTCCTCCAAGATGGCCCCCGAGGATCCGAAGGGTGCCCCAAGACAGCCCCGAGAGGTGCCCGGGGGGCCCTGAGAGGCCCACAAGAGGTCCACAAGATGCCCCCAAGAGGCTCCCAAGAGACCTCCAGGAGGCCCCAAGACGTACCCCAGAGGCACCCACGACGCCCCAAGAGGCCCCCGGGATTGCCAAGAGATCCCCCAAACACCCCAAGAGGACTCAAGAACCTCCCGGAAGAACTCCGAAGAGACTCCGAGAGGCGTACAAGAGGCTCCTGGCTTTTCTGCTCGCCCTCCTCCTCCTCCTCCTCCTCCTCCTCCTTCTCCTCCTCATCTTCCTCATCCGCCTATTCCTCCTCCTCCTCCTCCTCCTCTCCTCCTCTCCTCCTCCTCCTCCTCCTCTCCTCTCCTCCTCCTCCTCCTCCTCCTCCTCCTCCTCCTCATCCTCCTCCCCCCCCTCCTCCTCCTCTCCCCCCCCCTCCCTCCTCTACCTCCTCCTCCTCCTCCTCCTCCTCCTCCTCCTCCTCTTCCTCCTCCTCCCCCTGCTCCTCCGATTCCTCCTCCGTCCTCCCCCTCTTGGTGTATGACGTCTTACCCTGCCCTTTCTTCCATTGCATGCTCCTCCACATCCCTGATCAGGCCAACTCGTCTGGGCACCGCTTCTGGATGGGTTGGTCGGGTTACTGTTTTGTTACCAGCCGCAGGCGAGCGCGCCGACGGCGTGTTAAGGTCCGAGCGGGCCGCGCGAAGTCCTAAATTACCTAGCACGAGCAGGCTTACCGCCGCAACTCAGGCCGGGACCAGGTTAGTCGGGTTACGCGAAGCGTCTAGAATTAGTCGTGCAGTCTGTTATGCTTCGCATACCCTCTCCCCCAGGTCTGGACGTGAGGGGGCGCGAGGTGTCAGAGTGTCCGTCTTTGCCCAACATGGCTCCACGCTGGCCTCCGATAGCCCAAGATGGTTCAATATGACTTCCAGGATGCCTCCAAGAGGCCCCATGACAGCCCACGACTGCTCCATGTGGCCACGGAGCTCCCCACGGATGCCGCCTTGAGGCCCAAAGTTGTTTACACAATTTAACGTGTCAATGTCTTTTGCCTTTTTGCCTTTACGCTTCCACTGGGCCTCAGGATGGCTTCAATACACGCCTCGGAAGAAACTAGTGAACGCTCATGCCACATCCATCTGTCAATCCCCCTCAATGATCAAAGTTAGCGGTGGGTTACATGAAATGTGATTCGACCGCAATCTTCCCCGCGCGTGCCAACTTTGAAAGTGGGGGAAAAGGGCGCGTCCACGAACTGTTTCCGTCTGCCGTGACGCCCACAAGACCCCCAAGAAGGACCCAGGCAGGGCCACGACGACGACCGATGACGACGACGGCAATTTGGTCCCAAGATCCCCGACCGATGTCCGCCAAGATGGCCCGCAGAGGACCCCTAAGGCCTCGAAGAGATCCCCGAACATGTCGCGCCGATTCGCGTCGAATAGCTTCGATTTAGCTCGGATCCAGCGTAGATTCGCAGGAGCCAACAATATGGTATGGTAGGCTCCCATGAATTGACGCAAGACATGCTCTCCGGCTCCAACACTGCTTCAAGGAGCTCCAAGAGCGAAAGGTCCTTGAAGTCCTTTACGGTTGTCTCTTGTCGTCGGCATTGTCGTCGCTGTTTCCAAGATGTGGCTCTCGCCTCAGCGCCGAGCACATCTTTTTATCTTTTCATGCACGGGTTTCACGGATTGAGGGCGAGTGGTTTTCAAAATGTGGCTCCCGCCTTAGCGCCGCGCACATTCGTTTAAACAAAGGTGCTGGAGCTTCACAGATGGAGTGCGGGTCGTTTTCAAGATGTGGCTCTCGCCTTAGCGCCGCGCACATTCGTTCTAAACATTTGCAAGGGCTTCATGGATTGAGGGCGGTTCCTTTTCAAAATGTTGCTCTCGCCTGAACGCCGCGCACATTCGTTCTAAACATGTGCAAGAGGTTTCACGGAATCCCATGATATACGCACCAGAAACGGTGTTTTGAAAGGGTTTAGGACTTCGCGGTGCAACAGTTACGTTGATTCGCGGTGGAGTCCCAGAAAGGACGTTCTGGTACGATTCAGGATCGTCTAGACGCAACAGTCAGGTTTATCCGTGGCGTTGGAATCCCGAGAACAATGTTTTGGCATGCTTCAGGGTCTTCAAACGGTTGTCTTCCAACGAAGCGGTTCCCTCAATGGAAATGAACTGGTGTAGGGGCCTATGAAGAGGAAGCTTGGATGGAGGGTTTATTCCAACATCGTTGATGACTCTTGGGTTCACACTGGTCTTCTTCCTCCTCCTCCCCTCGCCCCCTCCCTCCTTCCCTTGTCTTCTCTTCTTCCTCCTCCTTCTCCTCCTCCTTCGTCCTCCTCCCCCGCTTCTTCCTCCTCCTCCTACTCCTCCTCCTCCTCCTCCTGCCCCTCCTCGTCTTCCTCCTCCCCGTCCTCCT